ATATTCAATAATTGTGTTATAATGAAGAAGAGTTATAAAAAATAATTTTGTCTATTTTGGTAGGGAGGAAACTTCACAGACATTAATTATGCCAAAAATTTCGTTGGATGAATTTAGTGTCTAATATCAGTAACTACCCTTTTGTATTATTTTTTGATAAAATTTTCATTCACAATTCACCTATATTGAAATACATGTCTGATCTAGATTGACGGGTTCTTCTCAAGACAAAGACTCTTGCCGTAGATTTGCGCACCTATAGCGTAGTCTTACTTACTTCCTTCTACAGTACTAAATTCACAAGTGCATGTGTTTAATAACCTAGACTGAATGATATAGTGCTTTAATTTTATAGTTGTATGTAATCACCGATAAGGATATTTTCTATACACTGGTCATCCAACTCAAGGCTATAACGAAAGCGTTGGTTAAATATGAACAACATTTCATTGTTTTTATCAATAAATATATTTATATTAGAATTACATGTTTTCTATTACTTAAATATTTAATCAAAGAAATTTACGCGAATACTGCATTGAATAACGTATGCGTAGTATTTGTGAGGTTCTATAAATTTCCATTGCGGCGGGCGCCATCGACTTACCCAACACCTTGACTAATGTCTACAAGTTGGATGAGTTCATGATCCGTGAACCACCCAACTAACATTATTTTCTTTAGCTTTAGCCTTTAGTTACCATACGGACTAACCCCATGAGGGGCCCGGGGCGACATCAGGCCCGAAGAAACTCGGTGACACGTTTTACAACTTTGATCTGTCTTTTGAGAATCTTATTTTTTAGTTATAAACAATATCCTATTTAAATTTCAAGTTGCTTCAAATACATATTTTGATATTTTTTGCATAATATATTAGCATGCGCCTAGAAATGTTAAAACTTCGACTAAACTTATTGTTTAGTCGAAGTTTTAACATTTCAACATCTGGCCTATTTTTTAAATTATTCTTTAAACATTAATATACAACATATCAAAGTTGCATATTGTCTCAAATATACTTCTGGGGAAAATATATATATTTTTTTTATTCGGGGTTGATTTAGCCCCGCTACTCAACAACCGGGTCTCCAGTTCCGTGTTCGGGTATAACACGAGAGATATATGATAGTTTTCAGCTTGCCTCAAATGCCTACCAAAAATTGTTGCCAGCTCTCGGACCAATACTTTAGTAACAACGTATGAACGATAAAGAATTATGATTATGGTAGTAATATCAACTTAGGCATTTATCCACCAAGAGACATGTCAAAGTAATAACATGAATCAAAATATAGTAAGATCCTATGGCTAGAATCAAGGCTAGAGAGTTAGACGATCGCATCATCCTTTTCAGCTAGCGATAGGTAGAACTGTAAATGCAGTTTGACATGAAATCTAGTTGAGAGCCGAAACCACTAATACCTAATCAACTTGAGTTTTTGGTCAAAATTTTTTGGTTTTTTAAGTTATTCATATAACCGATTCTACTATTTTCAACGAAAGAATACTTGCACATAACCTAGTTGTAGCATCTCCTTGGTTCTATAGTTTCTAAAACCATCCTCTGAGGTTTCGATAACCCCACATTACTCTTTGACCATAGTGGTAGGTACCAGGTTATTTATAGATACTTCATCTTATATATTTACTAACAACGTGATAAATTAGCGGCATTTTTAATGTGGTGGTATTTATACGATATTTATTTGTTATTATATGACAAGGCTGTATGGGCTTAGTATCCTTTGCCTCTCCCCCCTCCCCGTGGGAAGTTTGAATATCTTTTTACTTTATTTATTTATTATAATTGAAACCAACTGCGTTACAAATAATAGTATAGGTTATCACAAGCTCAATATTAAGGCCAATAAAAGGTATCACATCATCAATTCTTCCACATGTTGTTTAACAGACATTCATCGTACAAAAGTGGTATTTCTATTGCATTTCTCTTAGTCAACTAGACTCGACTTTTAATTACTTAGACTTAATTTTAATACAAGATTGACAAAAAAGTAATGTCTCAGAAAATTCCTGCCGAAAATAAAAGAAAACATCTTAGTTACACGGGTTACTAGACCATACGGCATTGGCATTGTGTAGTGTATTATATTTAAAATTCTTGGCGTGAATCGATCCCAAAACAAAAGTCTATGGTTTAGTCAAATGAATGTTAATATATATCATTAAACAATCGATTTGTCTTTACTAATATTATAAAGAGAAAAGATTTGTTTGCAACGAATATGCTCTGTTACTACAGGACCGATTTTAAAAATTGACAGTGATGATAGACTATATTTTATCCCGAAAAACGGTAAATAAAGGGATGAAAATGGGAATAAAATTTTGTATAGGGAATTAAAACATTATCATGGTAACCATTGTTTACGATTCAACTTGTTATTGTAATTATACTCGTATCCGTGACAAAGAGTAAAGTATATACGTGTCATGATATTAAACCATATACAAACGAGTGTTAAATTAAATGCTAAGCTTGAATTGGGTTTATTTTGGGCTACTTTTTATCCGACTTAACTGTTCCCTAAGGATCACGCAGGTTCGAATCCGCTGACGTAAATGTAGTTAATAATAAAGACTCTGAAAGTCAGGGTGACAGTAATTGCACCACCAAGGCTAGAAAAATTGTAAGGCTTCTTCTCGGTAAATGAATCTTTAAAGAATAAAAAAACTATTAAAAAAAATTAAATGCAAACTAACTCTTATGAGTTAATTTATATAAAAATATACTTTTAAGCAAAGGGTTTTAGTAATATACCTATATAGAAGTTTTTTCTTTTGAGATAAATTTTGTATTTACTATTTTTTAATAACATATAGGCAATGATATAGGCATATCTTTGTGTCTAATGAAGTCATTTTTTTAATTTGACACCTCTGTATGAAATAAAACAGGGGAAGGGGAATTAAATAATTGTGTAACAGAATTGGAGTTTGGTACCACAGAACAAAAAAAGTTTGGCACCATCAACGTAAACGCTATTTATGACTTTTCTTTTAAATATTAACATAGATGACATAGGTTTGTAGCTAAAAGTTATATTTATTTCATATCAGTATTGTCATTTCAATCGTTTAATTCTATACGATAATGGACGATCGTGTGAAAACAGGACAAATTTACTAAGAAAAACACAAAATTGACACAAAATTAATGATCATGGCGAGTTTGTAAACTTTTATTTGTCAACTGAGACTTTACACATACTTTTTTGGAAATGGGGAATTGGCTTTGAATGACCCTATGGCATTTTTAACAAAGACCTAAGAATGCATTCCCATTTTTTATTTCTAAAGCAGTTTAAGTCATCTTTGCACGTGCCTACGTGAGCGTTTACAATCAAATCGACCTCATTACAATTGTTACTTGTAGATCCAAACGTAGTTTCATGATTAACTACGTCATTTATAATAAGGTTAGCACCCGATTGACGTGTCATAAAAGAGAAGGGGTTTTCCTTAAAACTTACTCATTAGTGTAGGTATTGTTTATAAAATCATAACTCATTTGTAGTACAATTATTTCAGTTTTAATATTACACTTCCATTTGACAGACAAGAGTTCAAAAACCTTTTTCGATTATTATATAGCTTCTTTTTAATTTCGGACTGTATAAAGAAAAGTTTGCATATTTTTAATAATATAATAGTTACGTTTGAATTTCAATTTGCGAAAAATTAAAGTTTTTGTTTTTTAATATAAAAAGTGTGCGTACATAATGGTGCAACAGAGTTCAGCAGTAAGAACTAGTTTAGAAGGAATCAAAAGAATCGCATCAATGACTCGTGGCAGATCTAATAGTAAGAAATACGGGAGTTGCAATATTGTAATGAGCGTAAGTCTTTTTTTTTTATTTTACATAGTTTGAAGATTAGGTTTTTGAAATATTGTCCAAGTCAATGTTATTTTTTGTTCAAATCTGTAGTATTAATTGCAATAATTGATATTTTGGATGCATAAAAAAATGTATGGAGTAAGTGAATTTTGTTTATTTAAAACATATTAATTTACCTATAGTCACATCAAATCTATGTTGTTTGTCTTAATTATAAAAAATTTAAACCCAAATTCTACAACACATATTACGATTATCATGTTTACGTCATCATTCTACTAGATGAGTGATATTATCAAACTATGTGATTCATATTATTTGTATCTTTAGAATGATACCTTATCATAATAGATGTCAATTACCGTGTAGCGTACAAAATTGTAGCCAAGTATGACAGTATTAATACGATATCGATAAATTAAATACTAAGTTTCTAGTGCCTTGAATAAAGCTTTTATTTTATGAATTGATATTTTTTATATTTGAAGTTCTGTCTGTGTGTGAAATATAGTCATTTATTTTAAATATCCATATCAATATATTATCTAACGAAATTAATTTTAGAGAAACCTTATTATTGATAAATAATTGTATCTAGCAGACAGTTCACAAATTCTAGAAAATGTTTTTGAAGTCAGACATAACAATATTAATAAACTACGAAATGTAGTGGTCGAATATATGTGGTAGAATCCTAAATTTTATATTTTCATTAAAATTAATAAACAAATAAGTTTCCCTCTTTTGGACGCTTTGCTCTTTTTCTCTTTTTTGGACGAGAATGTAGAACGGATGTTGCAAAGGTTATAGATGTATCAGTAAGTATGTTTGTTTATATCCTATTAAAACATATCAATAAATTCCGTTTTTATATTGGTCAATTCGAAATAATCTTAAAAACACGGATTTTAAACTATCACTCAATATTCGTTAACTAACGTTTTTTTAAGTCTTGGCTTGTTTTTATCTTGTGGTTTTATGAAATTACGCATTACCTATGACTAAATCGCCGACTTCTGATTAAATGCTTGCGTTATTAGTTTGAAAGTGTTCATTCGTGTGCCAATTATGTTATGGATACAACTGAAAAAAAGAAAATTTACTTATATCGTTTTGTGTAAAAAAAAAGTGTGAATAATGAATATGTGTTCGAAATGTAGATCCACGCCAGTTTTGTCTACGGTTCGTAATTTATATAGATTTCATATAAAATGTTTCGGATTCTTTACAGGGTCAATAGTTAGTAGGGCGCGTGTGAAAATGTAAGAAACTAGCCCTGCGATTCTCTAAAAATACGAACCCGAATTCGACTTCACTCAAGTGTCCAAATTCACGTCGAAAGCGACATCCACTTAACCTTCAATTGGTTAACGTTTCGTGGCATAAATGAAGTGAGTTTCCAAATGACATAGGGATAGAAACTCTAAGATACGTATATAATCAACCATTCTTGTTTTATACTTTTACCAAAAAAAATGAAATCAATAGAATTTTTACACTACATGACTAAATTCGGACAAATGAGTGAATTCTAATTCGGGTATTCAGATTTTTACGGAATCGCTCTGCAGTAAGCTTTCAATGTTCTTGTTTCACATATCAATATAATGATAAAGACGTATAAAAAATAAATCAAAGGCCTCGATATCATCATTATTTATTTACATTAGCTTCACGAATGATGTATTTGCCCTGGAATGGCATTGGAACTCGAGGTTTCACCCTTGTAAACCAAGGTCGTATATCAAATATATCATTGCTCCTACTGACGTCAAGTCTGATCGTTAGTATCGATCGGTGCAAGGTTACACGAGTGACCTTCAACAACTGACCTTCGCACTGAAGGAGCGACCTTTAAAAGACTTGAACTTTTTTTCTGGCAGCCTACGTAATATATCTTGGCTCTTGATAACAATAGGAGGCTACCCTTCGTCCTTGTAGATACTTATTCATTTATACAGGGTTAGTAGTAAAACATTCACATTCTGGCCGAACTAGATAATAACTAGGTATCCGCTCTCGACTTCGCCCGTTTCCAAACTCCTATTGGACTGTTAAGGCACGTATTTTTTCTAAATCCTTTTCTAACAAACCTCAATGTCATTAAAAATATTATCCTGATCGCACACATTTTCTTTCCGTTTTCAGTTTTTGATCAGGAATTCCGATTTGATTCCGATTCTGATTTTTCTACACACATGTTCTTTTCGATTTTAGTTCAGTTAAAAAGCTGACGTACTCATAAATATATAAAGATGCGGGTTCGGGTCCTCGAATCGGAATTCCTGAACACAAAACCTAACACGGAAAACGAATATAAAAAAGATATCACTTTGTTTTTATGTATTTCATACTATGTATAGATGAATTACATTTCTCTTCTATTTATAGGATCTAGTTATTCTATTAACTGTATACTGTAATATTTTAATAATATAACTCTTTTCTTTTTCAGAGAAGAGACTTGGAAGGACAAGAGACAAGCGATAGGCATTCGATGAGGCATAGCAGATTGTGGACAATTCTAATCGACATTCCTCTGATTATAATAGGTAATAAGATTAATCTAGAAGGCTTGATTAGGTAGAAGCTATGCTCTATAACAAATTATCTGTGTGAAATTCACGCTTTCACGTTTGCAGTCAGATCGTTAGATGTTCTGTTCTTTACAGACATTATTTTTGAGTAAATAAAACGGTACACGATAATTTGACGACAATCCTAACCGCGCGAATTTTAAACGGATTTATGTATAAGGACCATGTCTTCTACTTACAAAGCAACCGCCTAGCTCTCTAAGGATACCATATTTTAGCGAATATTATAACGATTTTCGTTTCATTTAGTACTTGACATGTCTTTTGGTGGATAAATTTGCTATAAATAATGAAAAAATAATATAAATAATGAGAAATGTCAAAACTGTATTCTGTCAAAATAGTAAAATGAAACGAAATAGCGCTATAACATCGCTATGATACCGTATCCTGTGGTTTGAGTTATAACTAGAGTTAGGCGAGCGCTCTGTTGAGTCAAGTCTGCCGAATTAACCTTTTATTAGATAACCCAAAGTTGATATTTTTTTTATATACGAAGTATATGAAAGACTAGACTAATTACGTATTATGCACACTCGAAGTAGGCAGGGCAGGGTTCTCAACAGGATTTTTAGCGACTTTTTCCTTTTTGAACGCTAAAATGAACAGTAATTTTTTTACGTTCACAGGATTGATGTTAACAATATTTTTGATTATAATAACTAATGGAAAGTACGCACGGTACGTACACATTAAATATCTCATGGGTAAATCTAAATTTGTTGAAAGTGATTTTGAACCTTATTTTAACTGACTTTTGAGTTAAAAAGAGTTTAAAATTTGTAGTTAGTCGATGCGATGCTGAGTTTAAATCACGTTTTGCAAATAAACATTTAATGTTGAAGCAAAACAAGACTCTAATTGCACACATTAAAAAATATTTTACGTTAAAATGTTTTTTTGTCAGATAAAAAAGCTAATTCAGTTCTTGCAATATGTTGTTATTTTTTGGTTAAAATTTATCGCTCCGAGAAATCTGATGTGATTTATCATTTCGCTGCATTTATCAAAGTTTGTTTGCAAAATTTTTAGCAACGGTAATTTTTTGTATAGGTACATATCACTTTGTGAGGTCCGAGATTTGATGTCCATTGGACAAAAACCTGATTTATAAAACTACTTTTTCCCACGATTGCACCCGACTAAATGATATAAGTAAACAAACACTAAAACATTTCCTCTTTATAATATCATAGATAAAAAAATGCTACAAAATTATAAACCATTCATCTGTAAAAAGTTTTTATAGCTAGTTCTGGTTTTTTTTTTGAGTTAGAGGGTCAGTCAGACTACATACAGGACTTCACACATTAGGACCGCGACAGAAATAACATTATTTCTAATTAACTTAAATACAGACTATGAAATCCCAGAATTCTATCGTTAACTATTCAACGCAATAGTGAGCAAGTTCGGGATGCAAGCGATGTGAATTAAAAATAGATTTACGTCATATAACGATTCTCAGATGTGTAGAAACGTCATAAAAATAGGTGCACAAGATTGAATGTTAAGAACACATGTTTCAATGTCCGCACATGGCAGACTGTATGCAATCGTTGCTGTCACCAAAATAAGAAAGAAACAATAAAATTTTTAGTAATCGCGGGGTAAAAGAAGTGATTTTTTTTTATTTTTCGTATGAAAATATCAAATATACATACAGGTACATACGTCGAATCATTAGAATTCTAATCTCACCTGTAATTAATATGCGAGGTATATAGGAAATTCATAGGCCTTTATCGGCCCAAACAAACAAAAAAACCGGCCAATTGCGAGAAAAAAAACTGTACAATGTTTCTTTAGTATTTGTTGTTCAGCGGTAATACAAATTTATTTTATATTATAATCTGTGAACATTAAAACTCTAACTATCACGATTCAGAGCAGACAGACGGACATATTATGTAATAGGTGGACGGACGGGCAGCAGAAGCGGATTTTTAGTAATAGGGTTCCGTTTTACCGTACAAAACCTTGAAAAATAGTTTGTTGAAATATCTTAAAAATAATTTTGATTATTTTATAGCTACATAAATTCTGAAAATAATACAATGAAAGAATCTGTTTTAAATAACAAAGTGCTTTTTTCACAATTTTATCGAACTTTATCTTATGCTATAAGTACATATTAGGTACTTTTTTATAGATAATGCAATCGTAAACAACAATCTGTTATTTATTATTATTATTTATTTTTAATACTTACTTATTTTTCGTTCACATGATAAAAATGACAATACAAAATAGTATCTTCTTACTTTTATAAAGGGTTAAAAAGTATTTTGTTACCGCATGCTTTCGGGTTATTATGAAGTAAGTTAGATATATTACGAATAACTCCTGAAACATTATTAACTCCCAAAACTCCCAAACATCTAAATGAAACTTTTGATAGATCAATGAATTATTTGATAGATCATTTACTCATAAATTGGAAAATATTATTAAATTGTATTATTATTGCAAATTTTCGGAATTGTATGATTTCAAGTACATACCAAATTGTGCATTTAATTAAATGTGATAATAGACAATAAATAATATATCTAATATCATTGTTGCTCTAAAGTTGTTGTTTTAATAATATAAAAAACTAACTGCTATGTGATGAATGAAATATATTGCTTAGAACCATGGTAATAACAATTTTGTAACCATTAAAAAATATATGGCAATCTTATGACTAAAAACTAATTTTCGGTCGGTTTTTAAATTGTAATAAGTACAAAATCTCAACTGATTATTCTCAATAACATAAGTTTTTTTAAGTTTCACATCTCAAAGAGTCCTAGTTTAATCAATTTGCTATCGACTGAGAATTAAAAAAAAAAAATCAGGAACGAAAACTGACGTTTGAGATGGTTTAAGTACGGTTTGACACATGGTTAACTTTAAATTCTGAATTCAGATACCGGGTGAACTATTCGATTGCCTATGTTAATAAGGGATAATGTAGGATTCTAATCGTGAAAGAATGTTTCATTGATTCAGTACTTTCGTATACTATTCAATGCAAACATACATCCAAATCTTCCCTCTTTATTAATATAAGTATTCATATAATAGTACTATAAAATAAATACCGAAAACATGTGAATGTAAAATTATTTTCATAAGCGAACATTAATAGTCTAGTCACACACTTTATTTTGATTACCATGAGGTAAATAATATAATTTATGCCCAAGTAATAGGGTAAGTACACCAAATCTTCCCCTTACATTATTTTTTTGCTTTTATGTTAATAAATTGTGGTAATGGAAATTCTAATAAGTCATTTGAATATTTACCACTGACAAGGAATACAGTACTTTTTTCCTATTTGTTTAACGTATATTTCCTGTATTTAGGTTTATATGTAAATTTTATATACCGTAACTTATTGACATTTAACCACTCAAATATATAGCTATTTATGTGAACTGAAGCTTCTTCGAATTACAGTAATTGAACATTAATTCGATGGTTTTACAAAATCTCTCAACAACTACTTTATTTTATATACATATATCACTCACTCAGATTATTTAGAAGTATCAATCAAGTTTCCGTTATTAAAATTGATTTTCATAAGTGAATTATATAAAAAAAAATGTATAACCTGTGCTATTGAGAGTAGTTAAATTGTAAATTGTCTTAACAGTTTCATTATTTAAAACCGCTATACAAGTCTTTTTAATTTATAACTATAATTATGTCTCGATAACTAAAGCACAATTTATAAAAACACACACGTTAAAAGTGATCACAAAAAGACGTCTGCGTTTTTTCGATACCTACATAATTCATAACACGTTGAATCAATTAAGTCAAGCACGCCTTTTTATTAGAACAGAATTCAACGTCTCCTTTTTAAGGAGTGAACCATAACGGATTTATAAAATCAACAATACTTAACTAAAGTTTATTGAACTTGAAAAAGTTTTATGTACTTTTCATTTGAATGAGATTTTATCGAACATCTTATGATTAGCATCAAATCTTTCAATATTAACTAATTGATGTTTAGTACTTACCTAAATAAAATATTTAATTAAATCAACAACTTTTGGATTACCTTTACACTTATTATTTGTTAAACGATATTTTTATAATTTTGCTAAATGAGATTTAAAATCTATCGCAAACTATGCTTTTACAATTATTTTTCTATTCATTGTGTAGTTATTTATATGATAATTTTATTTTGTATAGTAACAATTTGTTTTATCTAACGAAACGGTAGTAACAACAACTTTTACCCTGTCTAAATTATTCTATTAATTACTTCAAACTAAAGAACCGGCACCTTTCAAATCCAATTCAATCGTTACGGGAAACACCAAGCTCTATAATGAAGGACATAAAAGGGAATTCAATTTTACGCTCTCTAAATTATTAACTGTCATAATCCATGTTTTTAATTGTATTATTATTTATCTGCGCCGTGTCGTACGTAAGTAATTAGATTTTTTATATGAAAACATGACTATACAATTATGCATATAAATTGGATAATTAACTTTCTCCTCAATTATTTAAGATAAACGTTTGTGATTAAAAATATCTTTACACAGTTCAAATTTAGTTTATACTTAGTAATTATTAAATGGTTGTTTTTCGACAATGCGATTATTTTAGTGTTTATAAAAAAGATATATGTTAGCCATCGCCATCTAGTGCGGAGTAGCATAAGTAACCAAGAAGTTTAAATATTTTTTTGATTTTAACTCTTTATTCGTTCAAGTGTTGGACTTATTGTTACTTTTAAGGATGCGAATACATTAGTTATTATAGTCGAACTGTTATCTTTCTAATAGTAAGATGGTTTATAGATAAAGTAGGCAACGAAGATTTAAGACTAGCTACACTGTAACTGCCTAGCTTGACGAATAGCAGGCATAGCGACAGCTTTAAAAGAAAATTTTATATTTTTAATAATTAAGTTGAAAATAGATTTCAAAAATTAGCCCCTTTGTGATACTTACATTACTCACTTGTGCGACTTTGCATAAATCTTATGCTTGTTATTTTCATATAGGCTTTATGTAGTTCGTTATAATAATAACATGGTTTTTTTGTTTTATAAATTCAGGAAAACTACTAGTCGCCTATAATTTATATAAAATGAAATGTCTTATACTAACAATAATATAATTATTTAGGAAAGATTTGTATTATCTGATATACTTATGTTTAGATGATTTGGTTTATTTAGAAATATATACGAATCGATTAGGTATATTCCATAATTGTTTAAAAACACGATTAAATAGTTTTTAATTGCTTCGCATACGTGGTGCTTAGCTTCCAACTGGTATGATTTTTTTAAAACGTTTATCGTCATCTTGCGGCCTATTTGTAAAAAACATTTATTAATTCTGCACCTCAAACCTAACTATTAAATTACTTACATTAGTCAGTTGAGAAATTTGCATGCAAATCTATTTCATTTTTTTTTATTTATCGGGTTGAAGCAGATAGATACGGTTATTGCCTTTTTCGATAAAGGACAATCAGTAACAGAAACAATAATCCAAGCATAAAAATGATTAGCTATAACCAAGGAGAATAGATTTGGCTATAAATATAAATAACAGCTTTTGCACCTGACTTCATACGCGTGGTATAGATAGTTGCTTTGGGCAGCATTTCTATAAATGCTAAAACAAATATTTATCAACTATATCGTGTTAAATACTTGAATATAAAGTTTCATGATTTCATCTTTGACAATGACGAACTTCTAAACTTTAATTCCTTCTTTGAACAATTTAAAAACAATAAAAAACAATTTATATCCTATTTCTAGTTAAAAAGAAGAATTAGGCTATCTACCTAGTTCCGTAACTTATAATTTATTTTATTTATTAATGTCATATACCTACCTTGACAAGAAAAAGACAAAGCTTCGTAACAATAGCATAAATAAAACAGATTAAAGTATCGTAAAGGTATTAGATGCGCTCGGTGCACGCCTAGGCATTCTATTTGCACGTGGTCCACAACGTGGTGGAAACAGCGTATTATTTAGATTAACTCCATCTATTGGCGGTTACGTAATACTGTGATGTGGTTTATGTAATAAGAGAAGCATGGTCGGGAATGTGCCTGGGATTAGGGGTGTCAACATAGTTTTATACGTGAATGGAAAAAAATAATTCTTTCTAAAATAACTAGAAATTTACAAACATAAGACTGACTCAAAGCAGTTCATAGTCCTAAGAAAATACAAAAATTAAATTCAATATTATTTATTTAGTCTAGGCTGTTACAAGCTCTTGTGAATGTCGAAAGGTATGCCATCGGTTCGCGAATCTACAGCGGGAGACCTTGTACTGAGAAGAACCGGCAAGAAACTTTGCAAGGGCTGCTTTTTTCCCCCCTGTTTTTTTTCACACAGACATGTCGAATTAAAATTAACCTTTCAGCTTAGTAAAATAAAACGGAATATCGTCATAATATATGCTAAGATTTTGTATCCTGTGACTATAATAATCATGGCTAGACAGTTATACTGTCACACCCCTGATTGATAATTTCACCGTTAATAAGCTCTAATCTCCAGCTGAAGTAGATTTTTATTTATTTGTGTTTACAGAAAGTAACTAATAATGAATAGTTTCATAATTGTAATACTGAAATTACTTCTGAAATTATTCCTAATAGGAAAAAATGGAAAATCCAATAGGTCCGATAAATCTGAGATCCGTTTGCGGAATCACTTAGCTTACTTCAAACCATAATATTATTGTTTCTATAAAGAATGGTTGGGAAAGGTATTTCAGTACCCAATATTAGGCATAATATTCGATGATTAGTTATTTTCATTTAAAAATTTAGCGCAATTATATTGTTATTTGTGCTGAATTTTGACTGTCATATTTAAACTCAATACTTTGAAGTGCCTTTTGTTTTCGAGTTGTTTGTCGTTTATAACAATTGTCAGTTGTTAATACGATTATGTATGTTGTTCGTGGTCCATCTGACGTCATTCGTTGTGATGATTTACGAGTGTGATCATGTCAAGTGTAATTCGCGAGACTACAGCGACATTGACTTTGAACTTGCCAAAATGGCGGAAGTGGGGATTTGACTGGGATTGGTCGGGGCCCGCTCTGTGCCAACGTCCATTTTCAATGTTAACAGTATGGCACAGACGGGCGACTTTTGAAATATATGTATATCATTAGGAATTTAGACCGAAAAAAATTGTTATCATGAATTCCTATTAGAAAATCGTTAAACTGCTGATAAGATTTAACTTTCAGCACTTTCAACACCTACCAATCCATACTGGACCTTCGCGACGGGTTCTTTTGCTTCATCTCAATCGGTATTTTTAAGTTAATTTCTCAGCCAATTATTGAAATATTTTAAAGGAACTTTCAATATCCATTCCTCTGAATCAAGTTTAACCTATAGGTACTATCTATAAATATGCCAAATTATGATTAGGTAAAACAACTCTCTACAAAAACTCACACGTGTTTCCACTACTCAAAAAGATTTGAAGAGAGTTTGACAGATGCAGCTGTCGCATGGTATAACCATGACCTAGCAACTTCAGATATCCATCTATTACTATATATTCAGCTTTCTTTAGACAAAGTCTGATGAAGGTCAAGAGAGGAGTACAAAAACTCTTAACCAATTATGTTTCGTAAAAAAAACAGCAAAAAACCATGTCACAAGGTAGCAAAAACTCATTGGTTAAAATTGCACATTAATTTAAGTAAATTAAAAAGAGTTTTTATTATAATATGCTAAGAAACTTTTCCCCCATACTTAAAATTCTTCAAATTTTATCTCGTCTAGTTCCAACATCACTTCTCTTATAGCTTTGGGAAGTTATTCATTACTTATACACACTTATCATCTTGTCCCAAGTGACTGATTTGTAGTAGCATTAAACTCTCATCAACCATTTTGTTGATCATAAAGATGTAGCCTTTTTAGCAATTGGAGACATAAAGATGACCCTCAATAACTTTGTTTATAAGACTATTATTTTATTTTTAAAGTTAAATTGAAAAGCTTCTCATATTGTATTAGCTTTCATCATAACTGAATAAAAAAGATTGAATGATTCTTAATGAAAAGTGCTTAAAAAATCTACTTTGTCCCTGACCCGAACCCATGACCTATCGCAATCCGGACAACTGCACTTACTACTGAGCTACCCAGGACAAAGTGGATGGATATTTTAAGCATTTTTTATTATGGCATTGTTAATGCAAATTTATCAAATATAGTGAATAAGAATTATTATTTAAATGTCTGTAAATAATTATTTTCTATGATGTTCTCTGCAAATGTACATATATGTATTTCTATTTTTATTTTTCATATCACTTATAGATTTATTAATGGAGTAGGTATAGCTTTAGAAGCCATTAAGGCAAACGTACAACGTTGAAATAAGTAATGACCATCGACGAAACAAAAGGCATTCTATTCTATTCTAGCCTTGGTCCTCTCTGCTTAAGTGCCTACCCCGCAAATTTTAAGGTAATAATGGCATCTCAATAGTGCTGAAGTCAAATATTATCTGTGCAATGTTTTCTTCATAAATGAATGGAAACAATTCTATTTGTTATATTTTAATCTAGTTAAAAGAACTATCTAAAATACATTTGTTATTGAAGAGCCATTGATTCGCTAATATGAGCTGAATTAAGGCCCTGGTATGAAGATTCATTAAAAACTTTCAGACTATTAACTAGAATCTCATTTGCTGTTAACAGTTGTGGCCCTGATTGGCTTGTTCGAAATCGGCGTGATACCGTCCCACCGTGCTGGTTTCTTCTGCAACGACCAGTCGCTGGCTTTCCCTTATAGAGGAGACACTGTCAGCACCAGTGTTTTGGTATCTACCATATTCCTGGCACCTTTAATTGTGGTGAGTCTTAATAATTACATTTTCTATTGATATTTGTTTTCTAATATATTATATACTTCTTATATACTAATACTTTCCACCTCGAACTAATTCTTTCTTCTGTTTTGAGGATAATTTGTGCTAACACTTTAATTTATATGCAATTTGAATAACTGTGATTAACCCAAAATGATATTTACAAATTGGTGGCATTACCAAATCAATATCAAATTATACATAAATTATTATATTTTTAATTGCTTTCATAATTTTATGCTGGTAAGTCAAAACATTTGTCAGTCTTAATCTTTGCCAGCCTGGATCTTGGGTATCTGAGTGGTTAAAGCAGTCGCAGGGTAGCGAAAATTCGTGGGTTCGAGCCCAATTTGGGGTACCTGAGAATGATCTGTTTTAATATCGTGGTATTCGTTCTATCCCTAGACATCCTCGTAAGTGGAAGTAAAACATGATTTTCTTTAACATAAAGACCGTCATAAACAAAACTGTACTTTTTTTTCAGATATTAGTTACCGAACTGATATTCCAGGAACAAGAGTACAATTACCGAGAGAAAACGATAGCGTCTATGAAAAATACGCTATGGGTATATCGTAACTACATATACGGTATGATTTTCAATTTCGCCGTGATTGAAATAATGAAGGGAATCACCGGAAGCCCGAGACCAACTTTCTTCTATATATGTGAACCTGATACTGGAAAAACTTGCAATGGGTGAGAAGACCAATATTAAATAATCTGAGTTAATAATAGTCGGACACTTTACCTGCCCAATTTACACTTGAATAAGTATAGTAGCGGGTACACTTACTCCTTTGCCGAGTTCAGTTTAGAAAGAAATTAACTCGTCCAAAAGACATGTTTACTAGCCACTGTTGAAGTGTAAATCGGGTTTTATGTTCAAGTCCGATTATTCGAATCTTCATTCTCGCCTTTTTTATTATACGAGGGTACACGAGTACCCTAAAAAGGTGTACTTATTATGCTAAGGGTTAATATTTTCAATATTGTAACGGAAAGAAATTTTTCAAAGGGACTTCTATCTATCAAATAAAACACGGAGAAAAAGTAGCCCTACCTGAGCTTCTTGCTGGATCTTCTCAGTACAAGATCTCTCCCTCCACCCCGTAGATTTGCGAATCGATGACATAGTATTGCGACACGCATGTGTGCTTGTAACAGCCCCAATAGAATAAAAGTTGAGTTGAGTTTGGTCACAACATCTGATTTTGACCAATAGGACGCATTAGTTTTCGGACTGGGTCAACGTAGGAAATAAAATTTTCCGACGTAGGAAGTGAAATTCTTTTCAGTCTTTTCCAGGATAGGTTATCAAAATTTTATCAAATATTAACCTACTGAACCTACTGAAAATATTCTTAATGATAAATGCTAAAAAATCCACTTTGTCCCTAGTAGTTTGAGTGGATTTTTTATTAAGAATATTAATGTTACATTTCAGATCTGAATTTGTGAGTACGTTTGAATGTACTTCCACGAGGTTCTCAAAATGGATGCAGAACGATTCTTACCACAGTTTCCCATCGGGACACACGTCGTTATCAGTACATTGTGGACTATTTATAGCTGTGAGTAATTCTGGTTTATATTTAGACGAAGCAATTAATAAATCCGCAAGATATAATAAAACTCGGTTCGACAATGCGTTTCAGAACTACGCAGGGGGCTAACTAAGAAAACATTTGTAATACGAAAATCGCTGTGTGCGAAATATCTTTAAAGGGATTATTTTTATAATTTTCATGAACTACATACATTACATTGTACTTTGTCCTACGTAAATACGTTAGCTTAGTATCTAGGATAGGCTATCAAACAGTCCACGAAATATCTAATTTCGTTTCATTTAAGAGTACATCCAGTTAGTCGGTACGGGTTTTCAAAAAAATCCTCATGCTATCTACTTCATTTATATTTATCTATTTATTCTGCTCGATGTTGTCGGATGCAATAATATTCACAATACTGTATTATTGTGAATAGCAGGGAACTATCGGACAGCATTGTGAATAGGCCCTTTAATGAACCAACAGCTCACATAAATAGAATTATTATAAGATACTATAGTTCCAATTGTTTAGAAAGTAAGTAAGGGCGAGGGTCAATATAAATAACATAACAATATATGTAAATAACATTCAATATTGTTTAATTTAAAATACAGAATAATATTAAAGTTAGTGAAGATGTAATTGATTCAGCTTAGTGTTTGATTAGGCATTAACAAAGTACCATGAAAATGTTTTATTTTGAATTCTGTCTCCAATTATTGAATTTTCAACAAATAAAAAGATAATGTAGTTGTAAATATGTTTATCTAGAACGCAAGTACACCGTCGATTAGACAATTCTGAACGAACTAGAACAATATCGAAGACAAATAAATTGTTATATTTGGTCAATTTCTCATTCTCAATGCTATACTGAAACTATTCTTAATGAAAAATGTTTAATGAATTATTTTTCACATAAATAAGTTAAATTTATATGAAAAATAATTCTAGGAACTTGTTTTAAGTCGAACTGTTAATTTTAATTACCTACGACAAAACCCTGGCCAAGATAAAAAAAAAATATCAAGCTTTTTTGAAGAAAGTTTTCGATTAAAACCTTCATGACGTGACTACTTTTCTAGGTCGCTGGTAATCGATGAAACGATGTGTAAATTTTTGTTGATATTCATAAAACATAGTTACTGCATACTTGTTAATTGTAGTCGTATGCAACAACAGTTTGTTTTGTTATGACCAGTGGCATACGACTACGCTATTCTTCGCTATTATAACTATCGCAAAAAAAAATTCTTGTTCCAAACTTTAAAGAGCGTAATTAAGCTGGAGTTAGGTACTAGAATTTGACCTTTTTTTTAAAATTTATTATGAATAATTACACAACATCACTTACATTACACAGATTCTAAGATGAGTATTATGGGTTTGAGAGTACCGAATGTACACCATGAAAACTACTCGGACAAGGTCTTCACTCATTTGTTTGTTTTACAGTGGTATCTTCAGAAACGTGCGTTCGATTGGCGTTTCCGTACTGTGTTCGTGGTACCTCTGGTGCAGCTGATCTGCATCAGCTTCGCCGCCATATCTTCACTCACCAGGATCACTGACCGTCGACATCACTGGTGGGACGTTGTCATCGGTTTTGTCATTGGTCTTTTCACCTTCCTTTATGCGGTTAGTGCTAATAAAAATCATATATTTTTCAATTATTTTCTTTTATCGACTAATGCGAGATACTGATTATACAGAAAATATTGTAATGATGTAATTTATTCACTGTTTGCCGTAACGAAATTACATCCGTTACAATTTACAGACATTTTCTTTTCTCCGATCTTAGTAGAATAGAAAGAAAAAAAAGAGATGAAAATTAGTATTCATGTTTTTGCCCAGTCTAAATCAAGACAAATTATGTTTATTCCTTCCACAGTTATTTTAAATTTATTCCAACTAGAACCAGCACGCATAGCATGACGAACTCGAGAACGTCTTGTTTACAACCAAATGTCACTTTTCTCTGATGCGCTCATACAACTTCTCACTCCCGATTGGAGAAAAGTGACATTTGGTGTAGAGTTAGACAAAGCGTTTCTCAAGTTTGTCATGCTACGCTTGTGTCGTAGTTTGATTAATGTATTTTTTTTCCTAATATATATATATATATATTTTTCTAGGCCATCGTGCTCAGCAGAGGCAGTGCCATTAACAGAACAGAAAAACCAATTTCAAGTTCCATTCATCAGTCAGTAAAATCTTTAATTTACAACCCAAGAACTATAGATTCTGTGTCTCCTTAAGAAGTGGTTTTACTGGGTTTGAAATAGTACAGTTAAAAAAAGCTTTTTTTTGCAAAATGCGTGATTTCGTTTATTATTAACATTAATAAATAATTTGACAAATTACCCTGTGATTACTATAAAAATGTGATATTGTACAATATTTATGTGTAGATATAATATAGAATTTTATATAAAAAACTGGCAGAGTTATTATAGTGACAATGGAAATAAATCGTCCGTGAAAAAAATTAACTGTCTACTGTCTATGCATGAGAGCTTGAGACACAGAGGCATAGGGAAGTCTTAGGAATAAGGTCCAATTTTACCCTTTGGATAAGGAATCCTAATAAGGCGTCGCATTCATGAACAAATGTTTGCTAGAATAACTTATCGATCTATCTTGGTGTGACACTACCGTGCCCTTGCGAATTAGTCTGTTGTTTTTAACAAGTTATAATTATATTTGATCAATTTTGCATACACAATTCACAATGCTATACTGAAAAATATACTTAATAAAAAATGTTTAAAAAATCCACTATGTCCCTGGCACTTTGAAATTATAATTATAATCAAATATTTTCATTGTTATTTATCACATTTGCAGATTTATAAATTGTTATGGTGACGATTAAAAAAATAGTAGTTGATCTTTGACTTTCCTTATATTTGAAATTATCCAAACACTGAAGTCTATTAAACTGTTAATAAATATTAAATTATCAATTTTATTAACAAAGTACAAAATAAAAAACTTAAATATGTTAATAAAGTTTTTACCAAAATGCAACAACTTCAGTAGGTATTAAAAATTCTTTTTAACAATGATGTTTTTACAAGTAGATACCTAAGTTATATTTTATTTATAGAAATAGTATAATATTAATAGAAAAAATGTAAATAATAACGATAAATGTTAAGTTGTTTCTAGATAGTTTAAATATAAGAAAGATTTTTTTTAAACAAATTAAATACCTCATGGAACGTTAAAGCCTTTTATTTCCTTCTGCATGTTCCTGCCTTTTCATTAGAAATACGGGTAGAACATCATTTTTATTTTGTCTGTCAATAACATACGAAACTCCCGTCTGCTCAAGCACGCGTCAATGGCTTCTTCTTCTTCTTTCAACGGGCGTCTCCGCAACTCGATGACAATATTGCGCCTGTTTTGCGAATGGAGGGTGTGTAGTCGGATACTACTCCAGCCAACCCAGCTCTGCCAGAAAACGCTTCTAGCGCCTTCACGTCTGCTATGGCCTCCTGGAGGTTTCCCAGCGAGCCGAGGCGCTTTGCCCGGTAGTTGGCTACTCCGTTGCATTCCAGCAGGACGTGAGCAGCTGTTTCTTCTGCCTTCATGCATCCTCTGCATAAGGGGCTGTCAGTGACCCCTAGATTGAAAAGGTGCCTGTTAAAGTTGCCATGACCAGTAATAGCACCTGTTACCAGGCGCAATAATGGTTTACTTAGCTGTAGGAGGGCCTTGGAGAAACGAGCGTTTACTCGGGGTAGTGTGAGTTTGGCCGGCCTGCAGGAGTCCAAGGTGTGCCAGTATTGTTGGTATAGTTTTCTTCAGTGGTTTCGTATCTTACCAATTAACCAGCTCACCGGGATAGGCATTATCGGCTCGAAGCCCATTGGTGTTGCGTCTGATCCTCTGCGTGTCAATTCATCAGCTACATCATTCCCGTCCCGTCAATATCTTATATTCATTAGCGGGCTATTTATGTTCCCAGTAGTGGGGCAAAAGCCTTTCTTCTTGATGGGAATTACATAAATGGGCCATAACCCACTAGGCGACTCCAGAACGAATAAGTTTATGTAAATGATTATGTTAACCTCAGGCCCAGTCGGAAACAATGATTTAAAGAAGCACGAATTTAAAAAAAATGATCACCCATCCTATAACCGCTCATTGCGAAAGTTGTTTAACCAACGTGCTAGCCGCTGTACCATGTTTCACACATTACAAAAATATTAAAAAATATCTTCATTAATACGATAAAATCATATTACGACGCTATAAACAACAATCTCTTTGAAATTGCTACGAATTGGACGCTCGTGAGTGCATCACACGGGACTCGAACCCTACATCCTTATTTTGGTAATCGACCGTAATAGCCCTTAGACTGGGCGTTGGGCAATATCTATTATTATGGTCCTGTTTGGGATGATATACGAACATCGCTCGACTGGCAATAATAGCTTTTCTTTTATATATATCATTAATAGAAAAGAAGTTTAAAATGTCTGTAAAATATATCGTAATATCACAAAATTAAAAGTTAAATGTTTAATAATCTTAAAAGCGAATTAGAATATAATTATTAATCTATTTTTAAGCAGCAACTTTTCTGGTTTGATGGTTCTATGTAATTTTAATAGACTTCATTAAACGAAAATGCACAATTCCGTTGTATGTTTCATTTAGTAGTGAACTCTATGATTGTTTTCGCTTATAATATCGCGATCTCAGTAAAAATCATATAACTGTAGAGTTGTGTAGGTAGTGTAGTAAACAGGCATATGATGTATTTCTACGGTAATATTATTAAAACAATTTTTAAATCTAAATTTTCTATATCTACTCCAGGGGCGCGACCACCTTACTCATAGATGTAGCCATAGTCGTATCTATAGCCTACTCTTTATAGGTGTTTCACATGAATCTGTTGATATTGTTTTAAAATTAATGGTTTTTTATTATTTACATATTTAATCAATGCTTTTGGTTGATTTTGTTTGCGAATTATTAAAATTAAACGAAATTTACAAAATGTAGAATTTATACAAATAATACTATTTTGAATAGAAAATCAAACCAAAATGTTTTATAAAATATATGAATTAAAAAATATTATATAAATGAAATAAAAAAAAAATAAAAAAAGAAAATAGCTAGGCGGTCTCGCCTCTGGTATACCTTAAATCATAAGGAATTTGTCCTATTGCTTATTATATTAAATAAATGCCTGACGTAATAAAGTTCCACAAAATGTAATTGACCTACCCATAAATAAATTTCAAATTCATGTAAAGAATATACTTGTGAGTAAAGGCTATTATAAAGTTGATGATTATTTTAAGGATCGCAATGCATGGAATTAATAGCCTTCGCTTTGTTCTATAAAGACTAATTATATGTTCAACTTATGTCCTACAGACTTTGAAAGTTGTATTTACTATTGTGATAAATTGATAATACATATTATTTTGGTAATGACATGATTTATGTAAATGTCATTACTTATGATAAAAAGCTGATAAGTTTCTTTCGCTTGTTCTTCTTGTCAGCTAAAAGACGTCCTGAACAAGTGGTAGGGGAAAAAAGTTTTTTGGACGATTCAAAAGTGCTTGTAATAGCCTACTTGAATAAAGATATTTTCATTTCATTTCATTTCATTTCATATTAAGCCTTTCAGAATTTTACACACAGTTACTGTCTATTGATTTTGAATAACACCCTTAGGTTATTATAGGTACTTATGAGCACCTCTGCTATTACTTTAATATAGGTAGCCTTGGCATAGTAAATGCAGCAAAGATCAAAATGGTTTATAGTATAAAATCGAAGTCTGAATAATAACACTTCCATGTATTACGTTGCCTATGAAATTGCTAGTGATTTGGTGTAAAAGAAATTATTACCAATTGTTGATTTGTTCATATAGATATTACATAAAGAAATGCAAATGAATCTATATTATAAAGTCATAGATTTTCAACGTCGACAATTTTATTAGTTTCCGACCTTTCAATCGATGTGAGAACATTAGTTTCATAACATAACATAATAAAGTAACATAATAAACTGACATATATTCATATTTAATTAGCAATTTGAACTCATCGTAATACATCTGTTAACTGACAACAAGCGGTTGGATCAAAGCTGTTCCATATACACTGATAAGGATGTGAGGCATGGTCCACTGGCCTGCCGCTGGACAATCATCTTGTTATCTCAATAACTGTTTGATAACTATTTACCATTATTGTCTAATTTCTGAGAATAAATATATCATTAGAGAATTTCAGTGTTTGCATGTTTGTTTGCTTGCAAGTTATATGTTGTAAGCAAACATGCAAACATTAAAATTCTAACACTGTCCGCTGAGAAAATACACGAGAAAATACTTACTACTATTAGTGATTCAAGCGGAAGGTTCATATGTATGATGATTTATACAAGACCATGCCGCGAAGCCGCTGGTGGAAAGTTAATAGGTAATAGACCTATGAAACACATTTTCATCGAGATTTAAAAAGCAATCTGCCGGCTCAGTAAGTAAATTGTCTAAAAATTCGAAAGTAACAAATGCCAGAGAAATTTAACAGTTTCTTTTCCTTCCTTATTTTCGTTGAATTCAAAGAAAATAATCCCAGATAATATAATCTTTCCTAAGTCAGGTGCCCCTTGTTTTTAATTTTTGTTTTTTTTTAAGTATTCAGTGTAGTTTTATAAGAAACTGTAGTCGCCCAAATCTGTCGTCTAAATATTTAAGAATCGCCTAAGGTAAAAATGCGTTTCACCATTGACTAGGAACCACCTAATGAAAGTAATGTCTAAAGTTATGATATTTCTTTTGCGGCGCCTTGCGTTAGGCATTTGCGTATATAAATATGTCAAGGGAAAAAAAGAAAAAAATATTTGTTTGGAATTAAATTAATCTGCTTGGGCGATTCGTAATATGAAGCATTTCCTAGTTAAGCTGTGCCTCTAGGTTAGTGAAAATGGGTGTAAGAATTGTTTCTATAAAAAGGAAATGTTGACTGGCTGACTGATACACCTCAAACTTAAATATTGCACACCGACAGTTATTATGGTGACGAATTTCTCTAAGGAATGATTTTAAAAAATTTAATCTTATGAGGGTTTAATAGAGGTTTGATAAGTCCCCGTCGATTAGGTATGTATGTGACATGAATTTTAAAATGTAAATTTTATAAAAAATTCAACTTACGACTTTCATGATTAATTTTATATATCACCTCTATGACTGATATCGATGATAAAA